CATTATTTCCCAGCTTCACATGCTGCTTCCTGTCAGGAAGTCTGTAATTTCAACTTTTAATTTCAATTTTTACTGTTAACTGAGGAGAATGTTACTAAGGTAATAGAAACAGAGGTTGAGTAAACTTTCTGTCTGAAACAAAAAACTCAGTTTCTTTGATTTCCGATTTAGAAAACTTTCAGTAAGTTTTCAGTAAACCTGCTTTGGGAAACTGACCCCTGGACAGTTTAGTTTTGTAACTCACAATGACAATGTTGTGCCAGTATAAAATATTGAAAGTTATAACAGATTTGATGAGTGATATCTGCACCACAGTTAGAATTTCCTTCTTGGTATTAAAAGTTTGCCGTTTCCAACCATTAAAGGTATTGTTTACCTTTTTTACATAAAGTCTGTCTGCTCTTTAAAATACAACTGGATATCAATATTTGTCCTAATAAGGCTAAGACACACTGGACATTTATCGAATCAGATAAAAAAAAAAAAACTGATCATAGGAAGTTGAAGCAATGAATAGGTAAAAAAAAAAGTCTCTGTAACTACGCCTGCATAGCTCTGACCAAGGTAGACTCTTGCTCTACATGTAAATTGGACAGGAATCTCATGAGTCTGACAGGAAAAAAGAAAGTACGGCAAAGTAAAATGCATCAGCTTTGGGAAAAATACAATGCAAATACACACATTATATTTGCATATAGCATGTGGGGCTGACTTGGATATACACAATGAATAAAACATTTCAATAAACAGTATACTTACTCATGGTAGGAGCTCAGGAGTACAAAACAAATAAAGTGAAACAGAGATCTACTTTGAGCTTATTAGATCGCAAACCACAGCTTTATGTTTAAAGCCCAGCTTGTTTATGCTGAGGGAATTTTCTTAAAGAGTGGCAGCAAGAAATGGACGTGCATCACATCTGAACCCATATTTAACTGTCATGTTTCTTAATCACATACTGTAGATTAACCTAAAAATAAGTAAAATAGATTAATTTAGTTAATTGGTTAAAGATGCCAATAACTGTATAAATGTGTATAGAGAGGCTCTTACTAAGCACAGGAGGGGCAGGTCCTGGTCTGTGCAGGACTGTGACTCATTTCTCACCTATGTACCAGTGTACCACATATTGAGACAATGTCTAAATTTTAAAAATGATATAAAATGTTAAAAAAAATATATATGTATATTTATAAATATATTGTATATATTTATATATTCAAAAGATGCTTGCAAATGTAAAGAAGCAGATCTGCACAGTCGGCTGTCATTCAAAAACAAAGCAGAGCCCCGCTTCATGACCAACCTGCTCACCATGCTCTTAAATTCCAACAGGCAAGGGATTTTGTTTTAAACTATGCTCAAAGAGAAGAAAATACTTCTACAACAAGGACTGTGGTAGGGGGCATAGCTGTTTTTTTTTATGTTTTTTTTGTTGTTTTTTGGGGGTTATTTGTGATATACACATTGTATGTTTGAACGGGGCAAACTTGGCTGTTGCTCTGAGATTCTACTTTCCCCAAACAAGAAGTGTTTTACTTCTTGCCACCATATCTTTCTTCCTGTCTAAATTACTACCACCAATAGTCAGATTTCAGAGTAATAGTCAGATTTGACTCCAAAGAATTTCCATGCATTCAGACCTTTAAATTCAGCCCTCTGGGACTAAAAGTTCTCATAATAGAAAAATTCATGGGAACAAATATATTCTTAAACGGTTCATATGAGTGATTTAGTAAAAAATGTTGTGTTCACTATTTCTCTCATATTTCTAACCTTCTTGCAGGTAGGAACTCATTTTAGGAGTTCTCCAGAATTTTGACATGGCAGTCTTGTGCAAACAGCCAGCTGTTATCCAAATGACTATATTTGTTGTCACTAACATGCAATTATCCATTTTAAAGTCCAGTGTAAATTTGGCTACATCATCACATATTATAGATTACATTTTTATTTGCTGAGGACAGAGCTATCATTCACTACAGCTGCAGCTGGCATGTCCGTATCCAGGGGACACTGGTTTCATGTCAGTGAGCTCTAAGTGAGATCAAGCTACTATTGAAACAACATCTGGAATAGAAAATACACAGAAAGTTCAGAGAGGAGGTTCAGCAACATGTTGCTGCTTGAAACTCTTCTAACAGTAAGACATTCAGTCTGATAAATTGAGATGCCTTGGCTTTTACACAAAAAGTGAAATGTTTCGTTTTTGTCT